GCTTTGCTGCTGCGCTGCTGCTGCTAGGGCTTTCCGAGCAGCAGCAGACGGCAGCAGCTGCTGCACTGCAGCAGGCAGCCTCTCCCGCTGCTGCTGCTCCTGCTGCTGCTGCTCCTGCTGCTGCTGCAGCCGCTGCAGCTGCCTGTGTCGCCCCCACGGCAGGGGGCCCCCAGCAGCGTGGCCCTCCCCAGGGGCCCCCCAGGGGGCCCCTGGGGGGCCCCCCGGGGGGCCCCCCGGGGGGGCCCCCGGGGGGGCCCCCTGGGGGCCCCCTGGGGCTTCTGGGGGCCCCCAATGAGGGGCCCCCGGACCCTCTTGGGGGCCCCCTTGGGGGGCCCCCCGAAGAGCTTCAGAAGCAAAAGGGCGCAGCAGAATGCAGCAGGGGGGCCCCCCTAGTGCTGCTGGGGGCCCCCTAGGGGCCCCCCAAGGGGGCCCCCTGGGGGGCCCCCCAGGGGGGCCCCGTGGGGGGCCCCAGAGGGCCCCCGGGGGGCCCCCATTGAAGGCTAGGGGGCCCTTTGGGGGGCCCCCTAGGAGGGTTTGGGGGCCCCCTGGGGGCCCCCAGGTGGTGTGGAGGCCTGGGCGAAGTGGGAGTGAGAGGCACCCCTCTGCTGCTGCTGCTGCTGCTGCTGCTGCTGCTGCTGCTGCTGCTGCTTGTTTTGCTGCAGGCTTCATTTGGCTGCAGCAGCAGCAAGACTGCCGCTGGACAGCGAAGCCCTAGTGGGCGAGCAAACCCTAAACCCTAAACCCTAAACGAAACCTCAAACCCTAGACTCTAAACCCTAAACCCTAAACCCTAATTTTGGAAGCAAATTAATTAACCTTTGAGCAGCAACTTACTAAGGGCCCCAATAAAGCCGCAGGAATCCCCAGGGGGCCCCCCTTAGTACCCTCTTTGGGGGCCCCTGGGGGCCCCCCGGGGGCCCCCAAGGGCCCCCAATGGGGGCCCCTAGCCAATATCCTCAGTTGGTACTGAAAAATCTTTAGATTTATTTATTTTTAATTTTAATTGAAGGAATAAAAGGGTTTTGTGAGGGTTTAGGGTTTAGTGAGGGTTTAGGGTTTAGTGAGGGTTTAGGGTTTAGTGAGGGTTTAGGGTTTATCTCCAGATCTTAGCGCGGGTCTACCGTTTAGTGACGTTTTAGGGTTTGGCGAGGGTTTAGGGTTTAGTGAGGGTTTTGACCTCCGTAAGGGTTTAGGGTTTGCCGTACAGGGAGCCTGTCCTGCACTCCCCAAGAGTGCCTTCAGCTAGGGTTTAGGGTTTAGGGTTTAGGGTTTACCGCTAGCCAGCTGCAGCTAGCCACATAGCTGCAGCAGCAGCCAGCTGGCTAGCTAGCTGCAGCCGCAGCTAGCTGGCTAGCTAGCTGCAGCCGCAGCTAGCTGGCTAGCTAGCTGCAGCTGTCCACCTAGCTGTAGCTAGCCACCTAGCCAGCTAGCTAGCTAGCTGAGGAAGCTAGCTAGCCACTTAGTTAGCTAGTCAACTGGCTGGCTAGCTAGGTAGCTAGTTAACTATATGGCTAGCTGGCTAGCTAGCTAGCTAGCTAGCTAGCTGGCTAGCTAGCTGGCTAGCTAGCTAGCTAGCTAGCTAGCTGCAGGAGAGTGCGCATCCGTATATTGTGTGAAGATGCATGAGGCAAAAGCTGGTCCCGTGACAATGTTTGTGAGCCAAACCCTAAAATAGGGTTTAGGGTTTGGGGGTGAGGTTTAGGGTTTGGCGGTTAGTGCAGAGTCACCGAGCCGCCCAGATTTCATTCCCTCTTGGCAGCAAAAAGCTGCTGCCCAAGTGCAGCAGCAGCAGCAACTGGTTCTGGTCGTGCTGCTGCTGCGGCTGCTGCTGCCGGTCTGCTGCAGCAGCTGCTGCTGCTGCTGCTGCTGGTGCAGTGGCTGCAGCTGGTGCAACGGCTGCAGCTAGTGCAGCGGCTGCTGCGGCTGTTGCTGCTTCTTCTGCCGCTGCCGCTGCTGCTGCTGCAGTTGCTGCAGCTGCAGTTGCTGCTGCTGCAGTTGCTGCTGCTGCAGTTGCTGCTGCTGCAGTTGCTGCTGCTGCAGTTGCTGCTGCAGCAGCAGCAGCAAAGAGCGCGTTTAGTCCCTGCATATGAGCGAGACTCTGTCGTGGGTGTCTTCGCCGTCGCTGTCGTCCCTGCCCAGCTCGAGCTGCTGCTTCTTCCTGCTGCTGCTGCTGCTGCTGCTGCTGCTGCTGCAGCAGTGCGCATGCGCGTGGCCCAGCTTCTGCTTCAACCTGCGAGACATAAAGTTGCTGCTGAGGAGAAGACAGGCCCCACAAAGAGACACGAGAGTGTGCTGCTGCTGCGCGAGCAGCAGCAGCGCGGCCAGCCACCCCTGCTGCTGCTGCTGCTGCTGCTGCTGCTGCTGCTGCTGCTGCGGGTCTGCCGCTGCAGCAGCGGGGTCTGCTGCTGCAGCAGCAGCAGCAGCAGCAGCAGCAGCAAACTCCCCCTCGTGGGAGTGGGGACACCCCCAGTGAGCCACAAAGACCAGCAGCAAACCAAAAAGGCCCAGCAGCAGCAGCAGCTTCCGCCGCAGCTGCAGGTAGTTTGCTGCTACAGCAAAACCCCCCAGAGGCAGCACCACGTACAGCGCCACCTGCGCAAACAATAATAAATAAATAAATAAATAAATAAATAAATAAATAAATAAATAAATAAATAAATAAATAAATAAATATTTATTTATTTATTTATTTATTTATTTATTTATTTATTTTTTATTTATGCAGATGCGAAAGAGTCAAAGCAGCGGGAAGGCAGAAGCCCCAGCAGCAGCAGCAGCAGCAGCTGCTGCAGCTAGCTAGCCAGCAGCTAGCTGGCCAGCAGCTAGCTAGCCAGTAGCTAGCTAGCCAGTAGCTAGCTAGCCAGTAGCTAGCCTTCTAGCCATCTAGCTATCTAGCTAGCTAGCTATATCTGGCTAGCTATCTGGCTAGCTAGCTAGCTGGCTAGCTCGCCACATAGCTAGCTAGCTCGCAACAGAGCTAGCTAGCTAGCTAGCTAGCTAGCTAGCTAGCTTGCCAGCCGCATAGCTGCCTAGCTAGCCAGCCAGCCAGCTAGCTAGCCAGCCACACAGCTACGTAGCTAGCCAGCCAGCCAGCTAGCTAGCTGGCTAGCTAGCTGGCTAGCTAGCCAGCGGCAGCTAGCTAGCTAGCTAGCTGCAGCCTCACCCATTTGGAGGCTGCGTGCAGCAGCAGCAGGTGCTGCTGCTCTGCAACAAAACCCAAAAAGGGAGTAGCAGCAGCAAAGAGCGGCAGCAAAGTGCAGTCCAGCGCGCACAGCAGCGCGGAGAAGTTGCTCCACTCCGAAAGGCCCCACCTGCGCAAACCCTAAACCCTAAACCCTAAACCCTAAACCCTAAACCCTAAACCCTAAACCCTAAACCCTGGCTTGGCCCTGGCCCTGCGCCGCAACGCGCGAGGCGGGCTGCAGCCCAAAGCAGCGGGACCAAACCCGCAGCTTCCAAACCCTAAACCCTAAACCCTAAACCCTAAACCCTAAACCCTAAACCCTAGGAAGTCAGTGGCGCGCCTGAACGCTAAACCCTAAACCCTTCACCCTAAACCCTAAACCCTAAACCCTCTTACTTCGTGAAGTTCAAAGTGGAGTGGTGGGCATGCTGAAAGCCACAGACACAGCGGAGCAGCAGAAATACCTAAACCCTAAACCCTAAACCCTAAACCCTAAACCCTAAACCCTAATGCTACTTTGCAGCTGCAGCAAAAGACAAGGAGACTAGGGTTTAGGGTTTAGGGAATTCTACCTTGTGGCGCCCCTCTTCATACATTTTCCTTTGCTGCTTCATTTTTGCTGCAGAGGGTTCTTCGCTGCTGCTCCCGTTGCAGCAGTTGCTGCTGCTGCTGCTCGTGCTGCTGCTATCGCCCTCGCTGCTGCTGCTGCTGCTGCTGCTGCTGCTGTCAGCGCTGCTGTCCCTGCTGCTGCTGCTGCTGGCCTTTGGAGGCCGGCGGGCCTCCTGAAGGCTGCGGATGTGCAGAAGCAGCAGGGAAATGACCAGTGGTCACTGCAGCAGAAGCAGCAGCTGCTGCTGAGAGCGGAGCAGCAGCAGCAGCAGCAGCAAGGGGTTTCCGAGAGCAGCAGCAAAGCGGAATGTGTAGCCTGCGGTGTATGAACACCCGGAGCATCTGGAAGCAGCTCTAAACCCTAAACCCTAAACCCTCGAATGTCAGTTAGCCCTAAACCCTAAACCCTAAACCCTACACACTCGCTCCTCCGCCCAGACAAGAAGTGTAAGCTCCCTTTTTGACAAAATAATAAAGACAATAAATGAAGTGTTTCACGCTGCACGCTCAAACCCTAAACCCTAAACCCTAAACCCTAAACCCCCGTCGAACGGTGACTCGGCTGCAGCCCCAGCGCGCGCACACCAACCCTATCCCTAAACCCTAAACCCTAAACCCTAGACCCTAAACCCTAAACCCTAGCGGAGGAGCAGCAAACTGTTTTATTCTGCAGTTTTATAAAGCAGCATTTGCAGGGCCGCGCCCTTTCCTTTCCCGGCTCCAGGGTTTAGGGTTTAGGGTTTAGGGTTTAGGGTTTCGGGCCGGGTCTCCGGCGCACGAGCAGTGTTGCCAACAGAGTTTCCGGTGTCTTAGGGTTTCGGCGTTTCGAAACCAGGCCTCGGGTTTAGGGTTTAGGGTTTAGGGTTTAGGGTTTAGGGTTTAGGGTTTGGCGGGCAGCGACGGACGAGCGGCGTCTTGTGCGGTCTGCGGCTCCTCCCCTCAGCAGCCCCCCAACCCCAAACCCTAAACCCTAGCCCCAAACCCTAACCCCAACCCCAAACCCTAAACCCTAAACCCTAAACCCTAAACCCTAGGCCCCCGGGAATGGCGCTGCTGGCGCTGACGGACGCGGCTGCGTTCGGGGCGGCGCAGGCGGGGGCCTGCGCGGAGCTCGAGGGTTTAGGGTTTAGGGTTTGGGGTTCCGAGGGTTTGGAGTCTCAAACCCTAATTTCGAAATACTCCACTTTTATTCTGGACATCGACGGAGTGCTGCTGTGGGGTGCTGCTGCTCTCTCCGGAGCTGCCTATACACTCCAACGTCTTCGCCAAAAAAACAAACAAATTTTCTTCTTAACAAACACTGCAGCAAAAAGCCGCAGCAGCTGCGCCCGCGGGCTGCAGCAGGCCGGCATAGAGGCCCACCCCCACGAGGTCTGCTGCTGCTGCTGCTGCTGCTCCTGCTGCTGCTGCTGCTGCTGCTGCTGGGGGGCGCGCTGCGGCTGCGCCGCAACCTGCTGCTGCTGCTGCTGGGGGGCGCGCTGCGGCTGCGCCGCAACCTGCTGCTGCTGCTGCTGAGGGGCGCGCTGCTGCTGCTGCTGCTGATCTGCTGCTGCTGCTGCTGCTGATCTGCTGCTGCTGCTGCTGCTGTGGGTGCTGGTGCTCCTGCTGTGTACCTAGTAGTAGCTGCAGCCGCGGCAGCAAAGGAGCGTCGTCTCGGTTTGCGCGCTGCATTTTGCTGCTGCTGCTGCTGCTGCTGCTGCTGCTGCTGCTGCTGCTGCTGCAGGTGATAACGATGGCCTACGCTGCTGCGGTGTACGTACGCCTCAACTACCCCACAGTCAAAGTCGTCTTTGGGATCGGCGAGGAGGCGATGAGGGAGGAGTTTGCTGCTCAAGGCATTGAGCTGCTGTTTGCTTCCGACCACGAGCAGCAGCAGCAGCAGCAGCAGCAGCAGCAGGAGCAGCAGCAGCAGCAGCAGCAGGTGGGGGGCGGGGAGGCGGGAGCCGGAGGAGCCGGCCAGCTGAACGGCCACCAGCGCCAGCAGCAGCAGGAGCAGCAGGAGCAGCAGCAGCAGCAGCAGCAGCAGCAGCAGCAGCAGCAGGAGCAGCAGCTGGTGCAGCAAATGATAGCAGCAACTGGCGTTCCTGCGTGGGATCGACTCGATCCCCGCGTGGGAGCTGTAGTTGTGGGGTCGGATCGAAACTTCAACTACCAGAAAATGGCCCTGGCTTGCCTCTACCTGCAGCAAAAGAGGCCGCAGCAGCAGCAGCAGCAGCAGCAGCAGCAGCAGCAGCCGCAGCAGCAGCAGCAGCACCCCCCGCAGCAGCCCGCGCAGCAGCCGCAGCAGCCGGCCCCCCCTCCGCAGCAGCAGCCGCACCCCCCTCCTCCTCCTCCGCAGCAACAGCAGCAGCAGCAGCAGCAGCAGCAGCAGCAGCAGCAGCAGCAGCAGCAGCAGGAGATGCCGTTCATTGCAACAAACCGGGACAGCTTCAACTTCGTGGGGGGTTTGCGGCTGCCAGCCAACGGCGCGCAGCTTGCTGCAGTGGAAGCAGTTGTGGGGCGAGCAGCAGCAAGTGTGGGGAAGGAAGCTAGCTGGCTAGCTAGCTGGCTAGCTAGCCAGCTAGCTGTGGACAGCAGCAGCACTTTGGTGGTGGGCGACCGCCTCGAGACCGACGTCGCCTTTGCTGCCAGCTGCTGCTGCCACTCGCTGCTGCTGCTGTCGGGCTGCTGCAGCAGCAAAACCCTCAAAACCCTAAACCCTAGGGCCCCCGGGGCCCCCACTTACGTGCTGCCCCACTTCGGGCTTATTGGCCTCCAGCTGGACGCAGAAGAGCAGCAGCAGCAGCAGCAGCAGCAGCAGCAGCAGCAGCA